ATTGAGCCTGCATTACTGAAGAGGGGGAGCTCCACTAAACGGCGGTTTCACTCCTCTGTGCCGGGGTGTCTTAACAAGGTTGAACAGAGGAAACCTCTGTAGGAAGGCATCCACCCCCATTGCTGCTGGATCCGGCTGCCAACTGTAATATCGGATTAATTCGGTGTTCAGCCTGGATGCGAACAGGTCTATGTCCAATGGTAGCCTTAATAGTTCCAGACATTTCAAGGTAGAATTGTGCAGGTGCCAGTCCCCCGAATCCTCCAGGTATCTGGAATTTCAGTCCGCCCATGTGTTGTCAAAACCCTGGATATGTTCGGCCATCACTGATACATTGTTGCAAAGGCAACAGTTTTGAACAGTTTTGACTTCGTGCCTCCCAGGTGATTGATGTAGTGTACTGCTGACACATTGTCCATGAGGAGCAGGATACAACAATTGCCCAGAGTTGGCGAAAGGCTGCGGATGGCGAAAGACCCCGCCAACAATTCCTGGCAGTTGATGTGGAGCCTTGATTTGTCTGTTGACCATCTGCCACCTGTGGAAATGTTCCCGCAAAGCGCTCCCCAGCCATGTAAACTGGCATCCGATTCTATAATTATGTCCGGAGCTGAACCGAATATGGCTGACCGTACCATGCATCCATGTGGCCGAGCCACCACTCCAGTTCGTCCCGTGATTTCACGTCCAAGACCAGTTGGGATCCGTAGGAATAACCTGTTCTTAGGTAGGAGCCTTTCAATCGTTGCAGAGCCCGGTAATGTAGGGGTCCCGGGAAAAATCGCTTGGATCGATGATGCAAGTAGACCTATTATTCTTGCCAACTGACAAATGCAATGGGATGTAACCTGGAGGGCTCATCTGATCTCCTTTTTGATGGCTCTCATCTTTGATTCCAGAAGTAATAGGAACTGGGTGATAGAGTTTTTGGGGTTTGAAGTTGACTCTATCTTCTGAACCAGGGTCACAATGGACTTTTCCCAATTTATGAGTAAGCCCAGCTCCTCGAGCAGTTGAACAGTCCACTGCAAGTGGCATAGGAGGTGATTGGGTGACGTAGACATGAGCAGGATGTTGTCCAGGTAAATAATCAGCCGAACTCCTCCGTGCCCTGCTACCACCAGTTTCATGACTTTGGTGAAGCACCAGGGAGCCGAGGAAAGTCTGAAGGACAGACAGGTAAATCTCCATAATCATCCCTGCCACGTGAAGTGCAACAGACCTCTGTGTTCCTCCGCTATGGGAATAGTTATGCGTCTTTGAGGTCCAGTTTGACCATCCAATCTCCCGGCTGGAGTAGATCACAGAGGCAGTGAATGCCCTCCATCTTGAAATGTTGATATTGTAGGAAGGCGTTGGGGTTCCACAGATTTATCACCAGGAGAACACCTCCTCCTTTTTTGGTCACCAGGACAGGTTGCTTGTGAAACCTGGAGTCCTGAACGGGACCTCTTGAATCACTCGTTTGGAGTAGAGTTCCGTTATTTCTGAGGATATGAGATCAGCTTGATCTTTTGGCAGTGACAACTCCAAGGCATCTGTAGTAATCAAAACCCAGGTTTTTGCAAACAAAGCCAGCCTGCCCCCCCACACTTTGTTGGGTAGAATGAGGAGTCAGTGTACTCACCGTAAGGGCATCTGCTAGAAGGTTGTCCACGACCGCCACGACTTGACAAGGGGTGTCACCGGGAAGGCAAGAAGGGTGCTGGCTTATATTCCAGAAAGGACCGCAGTGCTGTGTAGGAACCTTTGTGGGCCCGTGACAGGCCTCTAAATCCTCGTCCGGGTGGACGGCGCCTAGAGCTCCCTGCCCCAGTGAAAACCTTAGGACCAAAAACCCTTTTAAGGTTGGATTTTAAGGTTGGATTTTAAGGTTGGATTGGGCCTTGTCCAAGGCCGTAAAGGTTTTAACAAAAGACCCTAGCTCTTTAACGAAGGAATCCCTGAACAGCATGTCATTTTACTGCGGGATCAGGTACTTGACTTCCAAATTCACCAACTTCGTTTCCATCTTTAATAAAATTGCCTTACGGCGTTCGGTAGACAACGCTGTATTTGCATTGCCCAAGAGACAGATAAGTCTCTGCACCCATCCGATAGCCTCATCAAAATCCATTGGAGATTATTTCTGGCCAATTTTGCCCGGCCAGTGGCTGTCTTGCAGAGTGGTAACGCGCCAGGTTTTGCTAGGATGTATTTAATCTAGGAGGTGGGGCAAAAGGGTGATAAAACATCAATCCAATTGCCCCCTAAAACAAGGACAGAAGGTGCCTGTTGCAAGTGTGTTACAAAATGACAAGCTTAGATTCAGGTCTACAAATGCTCACAGTTTAGGGAATAAGATCGATGAACTTGTGGCTATAATGGCAACTGATAACGTAGATTTAGTCGCTGTTACTGAAACATGGTATAATGAGAAAAATGACTGGGACATAGCAATACCAGGGTACTCTTTATATAGAAAAGACAGGGAAGGCAAGAAAGGGGGAGGGGTGGCCCTGTATGTGAAGGATAGCATAAAATCTAGCCTAATAAAAGTTACTAAGGCAAACATAGAGTCCGTTTGGGTTATGTTAGAATTTGGTAGTCACACAGTAACTCGTGTAGGTGTGATTTATAGGCCCCCCCAGGACAAATAGAAGAGTTAGATAATCTACTAGTTGAGGAAATAGCTAAAATGACAATGAAGGGGGAAGTTATCTTCATGGGTGACTTTAGCCTTCTTGATGTGAACTGGAAAAACTAAAATAGCTGCTTGTGCCAGGAGCATGCATATTCTAAACTCCCTACTGGGATTGTCTCTAAAACAAGTCGTTGAGGAGCCAACTCGTAAAGAAGCCATACTAGATTTAGTGTTAACAAATGGAGATTTGGCATCAGATATTACTGTAGGTGAAAGTTTAGGATCCAGTGATCATCAGTCAGTGTGGTTTAATATAACACTGAGTCACACCACACAAAAACAAAAGTTTTAGACATTAGAAAAACAGACTTTTCTAAATTTAGAGTATGTGTAAAAGAGTCATAATGAGACTGGAGCGATTTAAATGGAGTCCAAGAGAAATGGGATTATTTAAAAGTTGCACTGCTGAAGGCAACAGAAAATTGCAATAGGCTTGTCAGTAAAAGCAAAAAATTCAGGAAACCACTGTGGTACTCTGCAAATGTGGCCAAAATAGTAAAAAACAAAATGTTAGCACCTAGTAATTATAAAAAAAACAAGAGTGCGGAAGACAGACAGATCTATAAGATTAGGCAGAAAGAGGCTAAGCGGTTAAGTTATAGGAGCTTCCAAATCACACAAAGAAGAGAAAATAGCACAGTCCGTAAAAAAAAGGGGACAAAACATTTCTTAGATACATAAATGAGAAAAGGAAGGTAAAACAAGTCTTTGATTAAAAACAAAAGAAGGAAGGTATGTAGCAGAGGATACAGGTCTAGCTGACTGCCTCAATGGATATTTTTGTTAAGTATTTACAGATGAAAATGAAGGAAAGGGGCCTCAGTTAGGAAAAAGGACAAATGAGTCATTTATTACATGTGAGTTTACAGAGGAAGAGGTTCTATTTCAACAATCAAAAGTAAAGACAAATAAGTCAATGGGATCTGATGGAATACACCCAAAGTTATTAAAAGAGCTTAGTGGCGTACTAGCAAAACCATTAACAGATTTATTTAACTAATCATTGTTAACAGGAGTAGTCCCAGAAGATTGAAAGTTAGCGAATGTTGTGCCCATTCACATGAAAGGTAGTAGGGAGGGGTCGGGCAACTATAGGCCAGTAAACCTTACTTCAGTAATGGGGAAAGTAATGGAAACCATGTTAAAGGATTGTATTGCTGAACAGCTAAAAACACATGGATTTCAAGATCAGAGACAACATGGGTTTACTTCGGGAAGATCATGCCAAACTAATCTTATTGACTAACTAACTAAAATAATAGATCAGGGTGGTGCAGTAGACATTGCTTACCTAGATTTCAGTAAGGCTTTTGACACTGTTGCACATAGAAGGCTTATCAATAAACTGCAATCTTTAAGTTTGGATTCCAATATTGTTGAATGGGTAAGGCAGTGGCTGAATGACAGGCAACAGAGGATTGTAGTTAATGGAATATATTCGAAGCTTGGACTTGTCACCAGTGGGGTACCTCAGGGATCTGTACTTGGACCCATTCTCTTTAATATTTTTATTAGTGATATTGCAGAAGGTCTTGATGGTAAGTTATGCCTTTTTGCGGATGATACTAAGATATGTAACAGGGTTGATGTTCCAGGAGGGATAAGCCAAATGGCAACTGATTTAGGTAAACTAGAAAAATGGTCAGAGTTGTGGCAACTGACATTTAATGTGGATAAGTGCAAGATAATGCATCTTGGTAATAAAAACCCAAGGGCAGAGTACAGAATATTTGATAGAGTCCTAACCTCAACATCTGAGGAAAGTGATTTAGGGGTGATTATTTCTGATGGCTTAAAGGTAGGCAGACAATGTAATAGAGCAGCAGGAAATGCTAGCAGAATGCTTGGTTGTATAGGGAGAGGTATTAGCAGTAGAAAGAGGGAAGTGCTCATGCCATTGTACAGAACACTGGTGAGACCTCACTTGGAGTATTGTACACAGTACTGGAGACCGTATCTTCAGAAGGATATTGATACTTTAGAGAGGGTTCAGAGAAGGGCTACTAAACTGGTTCATGGATTGCGGGATAAAACTTACCAGGAAAGGTTAAAGGATCTTAACATGTATAGCTTGGAGGAAAGACGAGACGGGGGGAATATGATAGAAACATTTAAATACATAAAGGGAATCAACACAGTAAAGGAGGAGACTATATTTAACCCCTTAAGGACCAAACTTCTGGAATAAAATGGAATCATGACATGTCACACATGTCATGTGTCCTTAAGGGGTCAAAAGAAGAAAAACTACCACAACAAGAGGACATAGTCTTAAATATATAATATATAATATCATCGGCCTTTTCACGCTTCCGAGATGGCCGGTGAGCGCAGAGATTGCTCGCGGCCAAACACTCGTCTTGGCAAGGTAATCCAAAGGTTAGCGGGACCGCGGCGGTGTCGGGTTGGCAAGAGAATGATCGCGGCCGCAGTACTCGTGGCCATGGAGGGAAGTAAGGGAGGTAGTAAAGATACAGCAGATGCCGGAATCCCGACCCTGTGCTCCCAGGGGCGCAGCCCAGGCAGTGAGAAAATGGTCAAACAAGCACACAGCAGTGTGAAATACACACACACACACACACACACACATACACACACACATATATATATATATTTATACATACACACACACACACACACATCTCCCAATGCAAACAATCAATGAAGGAAAAGGAATATACTTAGCTGGTCTGAGGGAGCAGCAAAGAAAAATGAATTTTACTGCTAGTTCAGACCATTTATAGACTGTTTCTGTATCCTGATTGGCTGTCCTATTCCTAGGCAGATTTGTTATATGTGATCCTTTTATTCATATTACATTCAAGATTATATATTTTTCTCTTTGCTGCTGAGGGAAAATAAAGAAAAAGAAAGCATAATAGGAGCCTCCATGTCATTAATAAAATTATTGATTGCTGCCTACTATTGGTTGGTACATGGTCTTGGAGACACCACTGTCAGCAGTGCCTTATGATCAGCAGCAAAGGAATAAGGTTAATGAGGGAGAAAGCGAGTGAGCTCAAAATGATCATTAGCCATGATATGTAAATGTAATATTTTATGGTGAAAGACATATTTTCAGAAGTTCCCTGAGAATTTGTTAACATGAATATGATGCTAACTATTTATATAATCTGACTTTTGTTTGTGTGATCACGTACTTTGTGTTTTGTGAAATAAGTTGAATGACCTTCTATTTCCTCCCTTTAAAATATAAATAGCACAGAGAATATTAAACAAGCTTTCTAAATACCAACAGTAAGTTAAATAACTTAAATAACATATCTTGACTTATATAAACTGGAATGCCAAGCAGATTATTAACGTTCCCAGGTGTTGTGAGGGCTAAAATAAAGAGAAAAAAAATTAGCCCTTAAAATTATTCCATGTCAGTTAACTCTCATTTCAGTACTAGGGCAGGCCTAGCAACATTTGACCGATGTTCATAGCCTTTTCTAGGTTTTATGGTGAATGCTAATTGTCATTCGTTACACTGTGTTGCACACAGAAGAGCCAATATGGAATTCACACATCCACTCACATTCATTCAGTGACACACACTGACCCACAAATAGTCATAGGGTTCATCACAAAAGTTAGTCACTCAGTGTAAACACACAGACTAACTCACAGTGGCATCATCTGAATATGTAGACTCACTTAAAAGTCATGATGACAATGCCATAATGCACACGGAGCTACTTCCATCCATATTGGGACACAGTAAGATACTGGCACACTCACCAGTGCATTTAACATTCTCGAACTTTGTGTCCCCACTATACATTTTCCTAAACTCAAAGAACTCCTCCTCGCTGACGCCTCTCTACGAGGTACTACCCTTGGTTAAATTATACCTCCCAACATTTGAAAGGGGTGTGTCGAGGGCTGATCTGGGAAATTTTAGGTGACTTCATTACTTGCTTTCTAATAACAATTTATGTATCTATAACAATGTATCCACAGACAGTATACTTTGACCACAGACTAAACACATTTATTGTAGTTTAAAGGGATACTATAAGTACCAGGAATGCAAAGCTGTATTCCTGGCACTATCGCTAGTAGCCTCATTGCTGGATCAAGTTGCTTACAGTGTTTTTATATTTTCTCAGGGGTGGGGGGAAACAGTGTGTTATTTAAAAAAACGATTATGCTTGTAACTCTTTAAAGGACCACTATAGGCACACAGACCACTTCAGCTTAATGAAGTGGTCTGGATTCCAGGTCCATCTAGGATTAACCCTGCCTGCTGTAAACATAGCAGTTTCAGAGGGTTAATCCAGCCTCTAGTGGCTGTCTCATTGACAGCTGCTAGAGACGCTTCCACGCTTCTCACTGTGATTTTCACAGTGAGAAGACACCAGCGTCCATAGGAAAGCATTGAGAATCTTTCCGCGCATGCGCATCCAGCAGATGACGGGAACGGAGGAGGAGAGTTCCCAGCGCCGAGGGAGCCCGGCCCTGGAAAAAAGGTAAGGGATTAACCCCTTTCTCACCCTAAAGCCTGGCCGGAGGGGGACCCTGAGGGTGAGGGGGACCCAAGGACCCTACGAGTATGTTTTCCTGGCACTATAGTGGTCCTTTAAGTAATTAAGAGATCTATAGGGATTTTGGAGTAATATATGTTATCACGAACACCACTAATCCAAGTGTGCCAGCAATATGGTACAGGTGGGATAAAAGAAAAATTAAAAAGTAAAAAATCCCCATTTGTTTGCACTAGACCCAAACTAATGATACAATAGCCTTCTAAGCACCATCCACACGTAAAAGGACACTATAGTCTACTATAACACTACAGGGAGTGCAGAATTATTAGGCAAGTTGTATTTTTGAGGATTAATTTTATTATTGAACAACAACTATGTTCTCAATGAACCCAAAAAACTCATTAATATCAAAGCTGAATATTTTTGGAAGTAGTTTTTAGTTTGTTTTTAGTTATAGCTATGTTAGGGGGATATCTGTGTGTGCAGGTGACTATTACTGTGCATAATTATTAGGCAACTTAACAAAAAACAAATATATACCCATTTCAATTATTTATTATTACCAGTGAAACCAATATAACATCTCAACATTCACAAATATACATTTCTGACATTCAAAAACAAAACAAAAACAAATCAGTGACCAATATAGCCACCTTTCTTTGCAAGGACACTCAAAAGCCTGCCATCCATGGATTCTGTCAGTGTTTTGATCTGTTCACCATCAACATTGCGTGCAGCAGCAACCACAGCCTCCCAGACACTGTTCAGAGAGGTGTACTGTTTTCCCTCCTTGTAAATCTCACATTTGATGATGGACCACAGGTTCTCAATGGGGTTCAGATCAGATGAACAAGGAGGCCATGTCATTAGATTTTCTTCTTTTATACCCTTTCTTGCCAGCCATGCTGTGGAGTACTTGGACGCGTGTGATGGAGCATTGTCCTGCATGAAAATCATGTTTTTCTTGAAGGATGCAGACTTCTTCCTGTACCACTGCTTGAAGAAGGTGTCTTCCAGGAACTGGCAGTAGGACTGGGAGTTGAGCTTGACTCCATCCTCAACCTGAAAAGGCCCCACAAGCTCATCTTTGATGATACCAGCCCAAATCAGTACTCCACCTCCACCTTGCTGGCGTCTGAGTCGGACTGGAGCTCTCTGCCCTTTACCAATCCAGCCACGGGCCCATCCATCTGGCCCATCAAGACTCACTCTCATTTAATCAGTCCATAAAACCTTAGAAAAATCAGTCTTGAGATATTTCTTGGCCCAGTCTTGACGTTTCAGCTTGTGTGTCTTGTTCAGTGGTGGTCGTCTTTCAGCCTTTCTTACCTTGGCCATGTCTCTGAGTATTGCACACCTTGTGCTTTTGGGCACTCCAGTGATGTTGCAGCTCTGAAATATGGCCAAACTGGTGGCAAGTGGCATCGTGGCAGCTGCACGCTTGACTTTTCTCAGTTCATGGGCAGTTATTTTGCGCCTTGGTTTTTCCACACGCTTCTTGCGACCCTGTTGACTATTTTGAATGAAACGCTTGATTGTTCGATGATCACGCTTCAGAAGCTTTGCAATTTTAAGAGTGCTGCATCCCTCTGCAAGATATCTCACTATTTTTGACTTTTCTGAGCCTGTCAAGTCCTTCTATTGACCCATTTTGCCAAAGGAAAGGAAGTTGCCTAATAATTATGCACACCTGATATAGGGTGTTGATGTCATCAGACCACACCCCTTCTCATTACAGAGATGCACATCACCTAATATGCTTAATTGGTAGTAGGCTTTTCGAGCCTATACAGCTTGGAGTAAGACAACATGCATAAAGAGGATGATGTGGTCAAAATACTCATTTGCCTAATAATTCTGCACTCCCTGTATATCTCTTTGAAGTGGTCTAAATGCAATATCCCTGTCCCTTTAACCTGCAATGTAAAAAATGTCAGTTCTCAGAGAAGCTGCAATGTTTACATTGTAGGCTTAAAGGACCACTCTAGGCACCCAGACCACTTCAGCTTAATGAAGTGGTCTGGGTGCCAGGTCCAGCTAGGGTTAACCCATTTTTTAATAAACATAGCAGTTTCAGAGAAACTGCTATGTTTATTAATGGGTTAAGCCTTCCCCTAAGCCTCTAGTGGCTGTCTCATTGACAGCCACTAGAGGCGCTTGCGTGCTTCTCACTGTGATTTTCACAGTGAGAGCACGCCAGCGTCCATAGGAAAGCATTGTAAATGCTTTCCTATGCGACCGGCTGAATGCGCGCGCAGCTCTTGCCGCGCGTGCGCATTCAGCCGACGGGGCGGAATGGAGGAGGATCGGAGGAGGAGAGCTCCCCGCCCAGCGCTGGAAAAAGGTAAGTTTAACCCCTTTCCCCCTTTCAGAGCTGGGCGGGAGGGGGTCCCTGAGGGTGGGGGCACTCTCAGGGCACTATAGTGCCAGGAAAACGAGTATGTTTTCCTGGCACTATAGTGGTCCTTTAAGTCTGCATCTAAGGGTTAAGCCACTAGAGGGACATAAGGATCTGCACTGACATTGAAGGATGCAGGGAGTAATCCAACACTGAGGGACCTCGGTGTTTATAATCATTGAAGTGTCTAAAGGGTATTATAACCTTTTGTAAACTTGTGAGATACTGAGGCAGAGGGACACTATAGTGTTGCAAATATACTTTTGTATTCCTAACACTATAGTATTCCTTTAACTCTAGTATCAATAGCTGCAACCACTAAGTTATCTCACCAAATCATATTTAAAAACATCAAATGTGATCCTTTAACAGACAAAGGCAGAACTTAGTAAAGGAACATTGATTATGAAGAAAAAAGTCCCAGTGCATACGTAAAAGAAAAAAAAAGAGAAAATATTTACACAAAAAAATAGTTAAAAGGGGCGGGGCCGATCCGTCGAGCTGGACGGTCGCAGGCAAGAGAAGCTCCTGCATCACATTACTAAAAATGACCAAAAACCACGTCTTTTAATGGAAAAACAGACCGACCGCTACAGCGCCTAAAGCAAAAGGACTGCTGGGACCAGGGAGA